CGTGCGGACACGAGCCGGACCGAGCCCCGGCGCTGGGCGGCGGTTGGGTGTTCGGTTTCTGCCTCCTCCCCCGAGTGTGGCCTGTTTTTCTGGCCGCGGCAGGACCTCCCCCTCTTTCTCCTCCTCCTCACCCTCTTCCAGTGCTTTTCCTCCATCCCTCTGCTGCCTTTGCCCTCCGGCGCTCGGCGCTCGGCCCTTGGATGGAGTTGCCCGCTCGGGACTCGGGACTCGGGACTCGGCGTCGGGGCTCCAGAGGAGCGGCCGCTGCCCCGGACGCGTCGCTCCGACACAGCGGCCCCCTCCCCTCCCTAGGCTCCCGGTCCCCTCGGGCTGCCCTCCAGCAAAGGGTCGCGCACCGTAGCTCAGCACCGGGAAAGTTGCTCCGTTACTCGGGACCCGCCCCCGCCTGAGTGTCCGACTGTCGGTGGCTTCTTCCAGGACCCCACCCGATCTTGCACTTCACGGTTTGAGGTTGCACCCGTGGAAGGAGGACTTCTCTTACCCGTCATTTAAATCCTAATCATTTTGATCACTGGTGCTTAGAATGTGCCATATACTAAGCCGAGGGCTTAAATACATAATCCCAGAAGGTCTTCACAATAAGCCTACGTAGCGGGCCTGCTTATTTATAGAAAGGAGACCCAAGGCACAAAGAAATTAAGTAATTTAAGGGCCAGGCAGCCCATTAAAAGAAAATGATATTTACTCTTTCAAAGTTGCAGATGAATTTGACGTGGGCATTCTAGGTTTTGATTTGTATTTTCTGAGCACATCTGCTCAGTATGTTAATTCCAGTTTGGAGTAGATTAAGGAGGAGCCCCTTTCCATCTGTAGCTCCTAAGGACTTGGGCATCCCTAGCTAAAAGAGTCTTTTCTAAATGCAAAGTAGTTTTGAGAAAAAAAGGGGGGAGGGTGTGACTCTCGAGTCATTAAACAGAGGTCATAAAGACCGCCCCCAAGATCCTGAAATCACTTGCTTCGCAATTGAATTATGTTTTTCATTTGTAGGTGGAAAAAGTACTGGGAAGCTTTTGATTTTAGGTTGCAACCATTGTAATTCTGAACCGGCAGCATAATTTTCAAAGGCCCTTGCCTGAAATCAGGACATAATTTCTGTGACCAAGGTCTCTTTTGTTTTCTCAGGCTACCTTTTGTTCTTTTCTGTCCCCTTGTGTATTTCTTTTAGGCATGGCTCTGCTTTCAAAATTCAAGGTTAGCAGGCTATGAATTACATCCCACTGATGCCTTTGCCCACTGCTCAGCTTTGAGGAAAGACAGCAGGATCCATAGGGAGATAGCCTCCAATGTAAACTGGGTGAACAGACTGAGTAGACTTGGAACAAGCAAAGGCCACTTTCTTGTTTTTTTGCTTTTTTTTTTTTTTTTTTTTTTTGGCAGTTCAAGACTTTTTTTTTTTTAATTTAATCAGCATCTTTATTTTTTGAAACTAGTGGTAGAATACTTTTGAGGCTGTTTTTCAATGAAGGTGTGTTTAGCCACCTGATATTTTGAAACTGTAAAGGAGCCACAGCTGCACTCATCAAAGTTATGGTTGTTTTTTGTTTTGTTTTTTAAGTTTTAAAATGTTGCTTTTTTGGTGCCGCCTACTGGCAGCTAAAATCAACTGAAAAGTGCTCTTCTGTGAAATTCATAGAGTTGTGGTTAGGAGGAGACTGAGAGATCATTTGCAGAGAAAAAGAAAGGGGTTGAAATCAAAGGGATTTCTGCTGTAACGCTGGCTCCACCTGTGACTGGCTCTGTCGCTTCAGAGCAATTAATTTCTGAGCCTCAATTGCCTCATCAGTAAAATGGAACAAGTATCTCAAGTTCCTGTCACATATGATTAGTATTCTACAGATCGTAGCTCTAATTATTAGATAGATACTTTACAGGTAAAGCAGACCCAGAGATGCTCACATGCTCACAAGTGGCTTGGAATGAACTTGTAGTTAATAGTTACAAATGCCTGTTATGTGCCAGGCATTATTCTAAGTGTTACACACCTAATCCTCACATTGGCACTAAGAAGTAGGTAATATAACTATCATCCTTATGTTAAGGATGAGAAAACTGGAGCACCAAGAGGTTACTAAATATCCTGAATTCACATGGGTTGCAGCACAGAGCCAAAATTTCAAAGGGAGCAGGCCACCTTTAGGTACCACATGTTACCTCTTGTGTATTACGTAAAAAAAAATGAGAAGATAAACCAGGAGCAGTGGCACATCCCTATATATAGTCCCAGCAACTCTGGAGGCTGAGGTATAAGGATTACAAGTTTGAAGCCAGCCTTGGCAAAGAGTGAGGCACTAAGCAACTCGGTGAGACCCTGTCTCTAAATAAAATATAAAATAGGGATCTGGGGTTGTGGCTCAGTGGTAGAGCACTCGCCTAGTATGTGTGAGGCCCTGGATTTGATCTTCAGCACCATATATAAATTAATAGATAAAATAAAGGTATTGTGTCCAACTAAACTAAAAAATAAATATTTTTAAAAAAAATATAAAAATAGGGCTGGGGATGTGACCAGTACCCCTGAGTCCAATCCCCGGTACCCCTCCCCAAAAATGAGAAGATAAGTTATACTTACAAGACCTTGCAAACAAGCAACTGCATTCTAAGTTCTCAAATAGAATGCTGTTATCCATAAGTATTAAACTCAGCTACCCATAGAGCTTTCCTATTCATGTGATAATATGAAGAACATCGATGATAAAATGTTCAGTAACAAAGCAAGATACAAAATTGTGCATTCACTAGGCTACAACTATGATAAAGAGAAACCTTGTAGAAGAAAAAAATTAGAATATACCAACATGCTAACAACAATTGCAACAAGATAATGGAATAATAACTTATTTGCTTTCTCAACTTTCTAATATGGCTTTGCTTATTTTATAATAAAAAATATGATTTGTTTTTTAAAGGGAGGGGTGGAGGTATTTTGAGCCAGACAGGACCCTGACAGAGCAGCCTTCACCAAATGCTTGTGTCAGGATACTTTTTCTCCCCTGAGGTCCTGCTGGGCTGAGGCTGCCTCTAGCTTAGAGGTTGCAGGTGTCTCAAAGAAAAGCAGTGTTGCCCCACCCAGCCTTCTTTTCACCTACCTCTTTGCTAAATTCCAAAGTTGTAAATGTGTCTTCTAGGACTCATGGTATTCTGGAGCTTTCATTTTAGTTTTATCATTATCCTAGAGTTGTAAATATCAAAGAGTCAGTGGCTTTGTGGGGTAAAGAAAAGTCTAAAGCCCTGCTTTGCTTTTTAGCTCCAAGTAGGACCAGCCCTCACTGAGAGTCTCCACCCCTGTGTGGGAGCCAAGGTCAAGAGGAGCAGTGACTATGCAGGGACAGTCTCTGGGTCATCCGTGGGAGGAGAGTCCCTTAAGATTTTAAGGAGATTTTCCTGAAACAGCACTCACTGTTCAACAGAAATTACAACATGAGCCACGTGTGTTTTAAACTTTCTAGTAGCCATGTTGAAAGAGGCAAAAGAAATGAATTTTATCAATATTTAACCTAATGTGCCCAACATTTATTATTTTGACAGGTAATTGAGGTAAAAATCATCAAGGAGCTGTTTTACTTTATTTGGTTCTAAGTCTTTCAAATGCACTGCAATGTATACTTTATACACAACATATCAATTCAGATGCAATTGAATTTCATAGGAAATACTTGGTCTGTATTAAGGTATCTGAAGATTACAGTTGAAAAAGCAGATTCACACACCCTAATTGTTCTAGACACACTTGAAAATTTTCCAAAATTTGACTCCATTATCAAGTTTTTAATTTAAGTGGATTTAAATGAAAAATTAAGCACCTCAACTGCACTAGTCACATTTCATGTATTTGTTCACCTTCTGTGCCTGGTGGCTTCTGCACTGGACAGTTTCAGTGTATGAGGGTCTCTCCAGAAGCTCCTTGTCCCTTGTGACACCCACAGAAAGCAAGACTGAAGGAACTTTACTTTGCATAGTTAGACCAGTCTCACTTCTTCACTGAGCCAGAAGTCTGTGGGGATCTCCTTTAGACAATCAGGTGCTGACTGCCTATTTTTCCAACAGTGATGCTAAGCCTCAGGAGGGCTGAATTGTATAATTCCAACTACCTGTGTTAGAGCCAGAGCTTCTGCTGGTACCCAGGCCAGTGTTCCTCCTCTTCCCCCAGGACTCCATTTTGTGTCCTTCCAAACAAACACCCAGTAGTGACTCAGGGGAGATGAAGGATGAGCTCTTCCCTCCCTCACTTGACTAGGCTTCAGCATTCTGCCCACCTAAGGTTGGTTGTCCTTGAAGAGACGTGGGACACCTGGAGGCATTAAAAAAAGCACTGGCCTGTGCTGCTTCTCAGTTCTTTTGGCAGAGCCTTTCCTCTGGCAGAGCTGCACGTGTTCCAGGCACAAGCCAGTTTCCACTCCATGGGTTTGGAGGTGTAGTTAGAGGGACATTTTGTACTTAGGAACTCAGCAGCTGCCCCAGCAATGTTTTCCATTTTCTGCCCTATAGTTGCCACCAGTCTGGCCTGGGCCCCAGTACCTTGCCTTCAGGAATCACATCACAAGTGGGGGACAAGGCACTCATTCAGTTCTAGCAAGGGTCTCTGTGGGGTGCACCCCTCCTCACCCAGCAGCTCCAGCTACTTAGCTGATATGGACTCAGAATCCAATACTGTGCTCTCCAGAATTATTAGAAAACTTTTTTCTTCCTAGCTTACATGCTCAAAAATATTCATTTATATCAGAACTTGGAATGGTTCATCTTTGGGGACATAACTGTCATACTGCAGTAGGTCATGCAAATTACACAGCCCATTTAAAAAAATTTTTTGTAGATGGATACAATATTTTTATTTTATTTTTGTGTTGAGCCTCACATGTGCTAGGCAAGTGCTCCACCACTGATCTACAACCTCAGTCTGCTGAGCCCACTTTTAATGTCTTACATGGACCATACAGCCAAATTTAAGTTCTCATGCTAGAGCTCCAGCTTTCATGATTTGGCTATGTTGCTTTCCAGAGGTTTCAGGAAGACTGGTTATGCAAGTAATACTTCCTGTTTACCCACTTTTAATTAATGGCTGAGGATGATGAATTGTGACCACAAAGTATCCTAATGTCATTTACTTAAAATGTTTTACCCTTGTGCCAAACAATTGGAACAGTCTTGTTTGTACACAAGTTAAACCCAGCAAAATTCTCATCAGCTACATCTCTCAACTACTTTCATAGCTGAAGATGATTATTCTGAATGTAAAAGGTCAAGAGTCTGAAGTTATTCAAAGCTGATTCTTGCCATAAGAACTGAGTAGTGAGGTTCTTTTCACCATCCTTGGGTAATCTCATCCATTCTTATGGTTTCTATCCCCCTTTGTGTTGAAAAGTCCCAGCTCTGCTTCTCCAGCTAATGCCATACTCCTGAACTCCAGTGTCTCATATTCAGCTGCCTACTAGACATCTCCAGATGCATTATCATGCAGACTCCCCAAATGCAGCATGTCCACAATGCCCAACCTGTTCTTTCTGCAATACTATTTCCCCTAAATGTGCCACCATCTCTTAATAGGCCAAATCAGAAACCCAGTCTGTCTCCCCACTCTGCCCTTAACTTCTGCCTTCCAAAGCCTTGCAGGTTCTGGTTCCTGCTTAGCCTGCAGTCTGCTCTTATCACCTTCCATCTGGATTTTGAGCCACATTCTCGCTCATCTACAGGCTTCCATAGTGTTCCTTATTGTTTTCCCCTCCCTGCCTAGTCTTGTCTACTCCTCAAGGTTAAAGCCTTACTGCAGGGGTACACCCAGGAAGGTCGAGGACTGTCCAGTATTCTTCCTGCATGGCTTCATCCCACCAGGTTGTGTCACCTGCTGTGGGAGGGCCTTGTTCACTGCCATCTCCCCTGTGCTCAGTATATGCCTTATACCTAATAGGTGCCCAGTAAATATCTGTAGAATAGTTGACCTAGACAGAGAAGTTTGTGCCAAGTACATATGTGCTAAGCATATTGCCTGCATTAACCCAGTTAACAAAAGTAAGATCAGGGTGACTTTTTATAAGATGGTCTTGGCAAAGTCCTGGGGAAGTTGTCTTCAACTAGGGTGAGAGTGATGAAAGACAGTAGGTAGATTTGAGCTACCTGTGCAGCCCAGAGTTCACACAGCTTGCTGGTAGTTTGGATGAGAGCTGAGTGGGCAGGAGCCAGCAAAAGGAATGAAGGAACTGTTTGGCTCTCTGCCTCAACGACTGCCGGGGCAACTGCTGCTTACTGAGAAGAGACAAAGAGCAGTGTTGATGAATAAGTGTGTGTGGGGGAAATTGAAATTCATTTTGATATGTGAGCAGTTTGATATACTATCTAGTAACCAGGTAAAAATGGGTAAATAAATCTGCATCTCTGATAAGATCAAGCAAACTGGATTTCCTCCTTTAGAACTCCCTGAGGTAGGAACTCTTAACAACTGAAGTCACATAGCTTCTATATCTCATAGTGAGTAAGCAGAGAGCCAGGGTTTGAACCCCCTCCTGAGCTGCTCCACAGGGAATGGTGTCTCCAGCTCCACTTGCTGCCCAGCTCAGTTTTCTCCAGTGTAGATCTCTCCAAGCCAGATATAGGAATTGTCTTAGAGGCCAGAGTGTGCAGTGCTTGTAGATTTTAAATGTAGTCATAGACAAGAAGTACAGGATGGAAGGGAAACAGAGCCAGGGGAAGACTGGGGCCAGGTATAATTGTGGTCACATGGCACAGTTTCTATGTTCACTGGAAGACTTCTGGGCATTGGAGCCTTATATAACAAGATCCTTCATATGTAGTTTTGCTTATACCAGAGAGGTACTACTGTCTGAGATAAAAATGGTGTGTGTGTGTGTGTGTTTTGACAGTGCTGGTGATTTAGTCCAGGGCTTCATACATGCTTAACAAGAGCTCTACTACTGTGCTATACCCTAAGCCCTGTAGTTTGAAATATATTTTTCAAAGTCATCCCTTAAAAAAGCACAAGTGTGTCAAAAACAACTCCTTCCTTTTTATTTTAAGATAATGTGAAGGTTGCACTTGGATACTCAATTCATGATTTTTTATAAATAAGAAATGTTGCATGTCTCAGGTTTGGCTCCTGCAGGAAGAGAATAGCTGTAGAATGTAGGCTAAAGTGTGTGCTTTCATCTTAGGGTATGTGTGCACTTGTAAAATGTCCACATAGAAATATATGCTGATTTGAAATAACCTCCTCCTTCTGTTTTGTTTTAGGGATGATGATTCTTATTACTTCTCACCTAAGTTGAATAAGCACCCTGTGCACTTTAATCACCTGTCTGCGCTGTTGGGCTAACTGAAGATAGGATTTTGAAATCTCAGCTATAAAGACACCCAGCCAAAGTCTCAATCTTGCCTTAATAATGTTCCAGAGGCTGAATAAAATGTTTGTGGGTGAAGTTAATACTTCTTCCAACCATGAACCAGAATTTAGCGAGAAAGAAGATGATGAATGGATTCTTGTTGATTTCATTGGTAAGGTATACTCAAGGGTAAATCTTCACAATAAAAGTAGAAAGTCTCACATGTCATTTTTTGCCTAAGTAAACCAGTAACTGATGATTTTTAAGCTTTAAAAGTGAGTAAACAGGGCTGGGTTTAGCTGGGACTATTTGGGTTATGAAATTAGCTCAGTTGGTAGAGTGCTTGCCTCACATGCACAAGCCCCTGGCTTCAATTCCCAGCACCAAAAAAAAAAAAAAAAAAAGTGAGTAAACAAACATTTGTCTAAAGAAACAAAACTTGGCAAACATTTTGGCCCAGATGATCAGTCAGTAAAATTGATTGATGTCACACTTTCCAGTTTTGTCACTTGTACAGCCTGATCCAATCAGAGGCCCTTTAATAGAAAAACCTCATATTAGACAAGCAGGAACCTTAATGGCTCATTACATGTTTATTTAGTGGAATAGAAACAGCCCTAAAACCATTCCTGCAAAGCCAATATAATATTCCCCCATTCCCCAACATATACACAGTACTGGAAAATTATTTTATAATAATTATGAATAAATATAAATGGTTTTGTTTCTGAACTAAATAAAGGGAGGAATGTGAGCATCAGCTAACAGTATTGTCTTTCCTTTTCTGTGCTGTGAATTTGATGGGTGGCTCCACTGTGACTGATCATTGTGATAATCATCCTCCCGTGGATGTGAACTGCAATGTGGACTGCTATCTAGACACTTGCACTGGTTTCTCAGCAGAGGAAGAGGAAGAAGAAGACATCAGTGAAGAGTCACCTACAGAACACCCTTCAGTCTTTTCCTGTTTACCTGCATCTCTGGAGTGCTTGGCTGATACAACTGATTCCTGTTTCCTCCAGTTTGAGTCCTGTCCAATGGAGGAGAGCTGGTTTATCACCCCTCCCCCATGTTTTACTGCAGGTGGATTAACCACTATCAAGGTGGAAACGAGTCCTATGGAAAACCTTCTCATCGAACACCCCAGCATGTCTGTCTATGCTTTGCATAACTCCTGCCCTGGACTCAGTGAGGCCAGCTGTGGGACTGATGAATTTCATAACCCAAGTAGTCCCAGGTATGTTGCAAATAATTTATTCTCTGCAGATAGTCTGCTGAGCACTTGTTCTCTTTATTTCTGCTACAATTCAAAGATAAATTTTTAGGAGATGCAAAAGTGATTCGTTTAGAGATTTAGGAAGGCATGTGCACAGGTGGTCAGTGGTATAAAAATTTGTTCATTTAAGATTTTTTGAAACGTAGTAGCATGGTTATATAACAGAGAGCTCTCATTTATAAAATTGTATGATAAAATTCTGCTACTGAAGGAAAATAAAAGACTGGCATTTCTGCCAAGTATTTTAGAATATAATTCTGGCACATTATACACTAGATCATCTAGAGTATCAAATTCAGCCAAAACAGTCTGTATTAACACACTTAACAGTATAGTATGTCTTATGTCTTTTACTTTTTTCTACATATTCCTAGCTAGGCCACATTAAATGGTGCTTAACAATGAAAACCTAAGAAATCTTAAACATAAAGTACAAAAGCTGCTTTACCAAAATATTTGTTCAGAGAATTATCTTCTGCCTTACAGAGGAAAGATTTCACACCAAAATGATGTTTTGTTTTACGGGGGGTCCAAGTGGTCTGAGTGTTCTGTCTAAATGGCAGATGGGGAGAGAGAGGGCCTGGTAAATTCTGGCAGGTACCCAGTGAGTAAAGATTATGATGTTTCAAAACAGACTTCCAGATATTATGTGGCTTTTATCAGAGAACATAAAAGGAATATATTTGAGATTGCCCCCACCCACTAAAATAAAGCCCCATTACCATGTTAATTAGCCCAGTCCAGCTAATCCATTATGCATTTCAATAAAATGTTCCCTGTGACATTGAAGCATTTGGGGGATATTGGCACCAACTTATAAGTCAAAGGTCCAGGTGAATTTGGATACTTTAGAGCAATTCACTGTTATCTAAAGGGCCTCTTCTACATTGTCCAGGTCCTGGCTCCACTAACAAGACCATTGTGTGTATATTCTGTTTCCTGTTTGCCAATATAAACAAGGCCCAGGAAGCTCTTTAACCTTACCAGAGTTTGCTGCCCTCTCAAGTCTCAATATTGTAATGATCTTTTTTGAGGTTAAACATATTTCATTTTGCTTATACCAAAATGAAAAACAATGTGTTTATATAGTTAAGTGATACAGGTTGTAGACTGGATAAGATCTTTGGTGAGAGATGTTTATCTAACTGGCACTTATTCAGCCCCATAATTTTATCAAGAGGTGCTTCAGGCATTCCAACAAAAATTCAAACTATAACTTTTTGGAGGTGATATTTGATTTAGTTGCTTTGTCGTTTTTAAAAATTTCTTCAGTTCTTAAATATTCTTCCCTTTTGATTCTGGTCTCACCTCTGAGGAATTTCACTCAAGAATTCAGCATGATTAATAATTAACTTTAAACTTATTGGCATTTGTATATTTACTTTTCATTTTTAAAAGTACATGTATATGTCTGTAGTATGCAGCTTTGTAAAATAACTCAGTATTACAGAAGCCCAGGAAATGCAAATATGCAAACATTTAAAAAATTGAAATGACATTCTCATGACCCAAAGGTATATACATACCCTAGGGCAGATCCTTCAAGATTGTTTTTCCTGTGTGTACCCATACCTACATAACCACACACATGCTTTTACCCCAAATGGACCATGCTGTATATACTATTTGAAACCTGTTTATTTAGACAGTGGTACCCATTTTGCTTCAACAAATTTTTATACTGCTAGCCAAATTATTCTGACATTTTCTTATTTCAAGTTTGTCCAAAACCAGCATCTAATCCAGGACCATGTACTGCATTTGGTTGTTATGCATTTGTAGTTTTGATGCAGTGAGAATGTTGTTTTTCTATCTTGTTTGTTTTTGCATTCACATGTTATATAGAATAGTTAAATAGGTACTTTTCTATAAATTATCAAAAGAATGCACTAAACTTTATGTGAATTTTTTTTGCACATAGGAAAATCCTGAAGATTATTATAGTTTAATGATAGCAGCTAAATTTTTTTAACATTCATATTTTTGGATTTGAAATTCTAAGGCCCACTATATCCAGATAGAATCAGGTGTTTGAAAAATCAGGAGGCTAGCTATGTAGTAAACATCAGTGTTTTCTAGGGACTGAAGATAGAACTCAGTGGTAGGGCATTTGCCTCCCATGCATGAAGCCCTGGGTTCTATCCTTAGCACCACAAGACAACAATAACGACAACAACAAAAATCTGTTTTTTAGGAAGGCAATAAACCATATATCTTTCAAAAGTTAAATTGCTACCATGCTTCTGTCCTCAGGGATATTACCATAAAGCACATAAAAATAAGGTGCTTTATAATTATAATGAGCTTTGGCATGTGCATTTTAGCCTTTATGAATATTGTTTGTGAAAGTTTATGAGCTCTCATAATTTTAATATATGTGCCTTTAATGACCTATAGTAAATTAGTTTTAATAAAGAAAAGTTGACCACGTCCTAACAATAAAATTAAAATAGCATTTTAAGTCTTACTAGTGATTTAATAGTTCACCATTTAACATTTGTAGGGCCAGGAAAAGCTGCTTATAAGACTCACGGGCACAGAGTAAGTATACTCAACTTTGAGACTGTGTGATCTCTGTTACCAGTTTGCATAGGGAGGCTAGGTACCCAAATGCCCACCTTTTATAAACCACTTTCTTTATTTCGACTCCTATTAGTTCTGTTTTGTGAGTGGTGCTAGAGATGAATCCAGTGCCTTGGACAAGCTGGGCCAGTGTTCCACCACTGAGCTATACTCCCAACCCTCTATCAGTTTCTTAATGAAACCTGATTTAATTCAAATTTAAATACATGTGTTTGTGTGTTAAAAGTATTTTCCTCAAGTGATTTTAGGCAAAAAATTCAACTGCCCTTCCTGTGTAAAATAACCCTTAACAATTTTGAAACTTGGGCTAGATGTTTAGCTCAGTGGAGGGCACTTGGGCAGCATGTGCAAGGCCTTGGGTTTGATTCCCCAGCACTACAAAAAATAGAAACTTAAACTCTTATGATATATATTAATATAGTCTAGACCAATCCTACTTGGTTAACTTTTAATATAGAAGACACGATAACCGTAGTGGTGTATGGCTATGTTTTAAGGTGATGTGTTCCTCAAGGGTCTGGAAACCTCAACAGTAAATGCCATTCCAGAATATGCCTTATCATATATAAATAAAATTTGGAGTTGTCTTCTATAATAAGCCATTGCTTCTGGCTAGAAAAATGTTGTCAGTAGAATTTCCTTATGCATATACTTCCATGAAATATGGGCTTAAAATATACTTCCTAGAACATTTTATTTGTAGGCAGAAAGCATCTGTGAATGTGCTCTTGGCATGGTTCATTCTGATAAGTAAAATTTGAGAATTAAAATATTTTCCTGCTAGGCATAGTGGCACACACCTATTAATCCCAGCATCTCAGGAAGCTGAGGCAGGAGGATTACAGCCAGCCTCGGCAACTTAGTGAGACTCTGTCTCAAAATCAAAAATAAAAAGATTTGGGAATGTAGCTCAGTGGTAAAGAGTCCCTGGGTTCAATTCCCAGGACAAAAAAAAAAAAAATCTTTTTTTTTCTTTTTAAGATAAAGTGACTGCCCTTAGTTCCCTGACTAGAAAAACTTGCTTTAATTCATTCAAAGTATAAAGCATATTTTTAGAGTACAGTCTGCTTCATCTGTGAACCAACTATTAAAAAGTTGGTTTCTGCCAGGCAGGGTAGTGCACGCCTATAATCCTAGTGGCTCCAGAGGCTGAGACAGGAGGATTGCGAGTTCAAAACCAGCCTCAGCAAAAGCAAGGTGCTCAGCAACTCAGTGAGACCTTGTCGCTAAATTAAAAGTACAAAATAGGGCTGAGGATGTGGTCAGTGGTCTAGTATCCCTGAGTTCAATCCCTGGTACCCCACTGCCAAAAAAAAAAAAAAAAAAAAAAATTTTTTTTTTGGCTTCTCCTTTCCACCACTATCAGTCAGTATGGTAACAAAATATAAACTCATCCAACCACAAATCAATGTGTCCAACTGAATTGTGAAATGTCTTTGTGCGTTTCCTTAATCACATACTTTGCTCTTCAATGCATCCTACTTTTCTGTTTCAGAGTGGAAGCCCAAAATGAAGTGGGGCAACACATCCACTGCTATGTTGCAGCTCTTGCTGCTCATACAACTTTTCTGGAACAACCCAAGAGCTTTCGCCCTTCCCAGTGGATAAAAGAACATGGTGAAAGGCAGTCTCTGAACAGAAATAGTCTTCGTCGCCAAAATCTTACCAGGGATTGCCACTCCCGGCAAGTCAGGCACAGTGGCTGGGTGGTTCATCAGCCCTGCCCGCGTCAGTACAATTACTAAGAATTTCAAGTTTTGCTGGTTGGTTTCTCTTGGTTTGTGCACCTGTGTGGGAATGTACGTATATGTACAATGAAAATGCTGTCTCTTTATAGCCAATTGATGACCAATCACATAGTTTATCAGTGTATTTAGACACTATCTTAAAAACCAGATTTCTATGCTGTGTTTCACATAATGCCTTGCTCCTAACATGTACTTTTTTGTAAAATTTTTCAGGATATTTTTGGAAACATATCAATACAATTACAGTGTTTGGTGTTTGGGGATGTCTTTAAATTTATTAAGGTGTACACAGGTTAGTCAGCAATTTAAAGACATTTCTTCCCCCAAGTGCAAGAATAGGCATCTTACAATTTTCATTTTATTTTGTATTACTTAATCTTTTGAGTAAGCAAAAATTTATTCTCAGGGTCAGCCATACACTTTATTGACCAGTACTTGATAATCTTTTCTGTATAATATGAATACATTTTTACACACTAACATGAGCATTAACAGGTGATAGTTGCCATTGGATATAATGGAATTATGGCTGGACTTTCTTTTGAAAGAAAACTTGATATTTTCTGTATGTGATTATTTTTTTCCAGATTAGTCATGCAGTTCATTGTGGAATTCAGGTACATTAAGCTTTAGTGAACAGTCATTCAGCAATTCCGATGGGACTATGGATGTGGTACAGATCAGGTGTCATGGACAAAAGCACTGTCTCATGTGCAGAGGGAAGAAATTAGACCTGTGAAATTATAGTTGAAAAAACCCATGTCTATAAGTAACCCATTAGTCCATATTTAAGTTGTTTGGATTCTTTCCTGCCATCTCTGCTCACTCCTCCTCATAGCAGCTATAAATTCAGATGTACTTGTCCAGACACTTGAGTGACTTTTCATATTTCTATCTGCCCACAAGAAAAGCGATGGACTTCTTATTTCTAGACACAGTGAAAACCCTCTGACATGGAGCTGGTCTTGCCAAGGGGCAAGCAAGGGTGAAGAGGGATTCTGGTGATGTCTTCATCGTGCCTGTGAGAAGAGTGACAGGTGGCTTCCTTGAGCTTTCATTTTTTGTTTTAACTTCAGGCAAAATCTTGAACCACTTTGGCCTCTGTTTCCTCCACAACAGGAGAGTAGTAACATTTACCTCCCTCACAGGGTCGTTGTGAGGATCGCATACTGATGGGAAATGGGGCTGTCCACAACTGAACCTCGTGTGAACTTCCAAGGGCCTTTCTACTGAATCTAGTGATGGCGGGCTGTCGCAGTTCTTCTGCCACCATTGTTCTTCACAGTGTTGGTGCTAATGAGGCCAGGGTGCAGGGTTCAACTCACACGAAGGCCAGTTAACTCGACACAGAAAAATCTATTTCCGTACCTCTAGCCAGTTGCTTCATTTTTTCACTCTGGTGATGGCTTCTTCGGAACTGTCCACACCCTTGCTAGCTTCCTCTGAAATTAACTTAAATGCATTCACGGTTGAAAGCTCATGCTACTCACAAAACAGTAGCACTGCCTGCACGATCAGCCTATTTGTCCATCTCCTCTGCAACCCTAGTAGATGAGCACATGTCTATGAAATGTTTTCAAGGAAAAAGCAGCATAAAGTCCTGTGAAGTATTATATTTTCGTTAACCCTGCAGCAGCTTGATGCAGGGAACCCTGGGAGACTTCCAGGGAAGAGCTGTGCTCTTTTCTGACACGACTGGGGCATTTGAGTTGGAAAAGGTCAAACATGTAGTTAGTTGGTGGTTTAGATTGTTCTTCCACTGGCTGTGATGAAGTGCCAGACGTCTCTTTAGAACAAGAGTCTAGATCCCCCTTCTTTCTTTATTCCCCTTTTCTAAGGATTTCCCCTTTTATTTATTTGTTTTCTAATTAGGGGCCAAGTCTGTAAAGTTTTGTCAAACTGAGAAGTTATTTGTTAATATTTGTGTTTATCAGAGTTGGGAGAGTTTTCATGAAAGTGTGTGTGTTACACCGCGTCTGTTCTACTCTGGTGACTCGAAAACAAACCAGAGAGGTGTCTTTTGGACCTAAACTTCTGCCTTCATGGGGCCACTTTCATACAGTGCATGAGAGTCGTTAGTACCCCACAAGCCACAGAAGTTCAGTCATGAGAATTTGTTAGGCGGCATGAACAGATTTGTATATAAAACTGCAATAATTTTTTAAAACTACTTTTTATTTCAGACTTCTTGATACCTTAAATACATTTATGTCTCTAACAGTTATTGACTTTTTGTTTGCCTTATCTGGGCCTTGTTTTTTTATGCTTTGTACCTGGAAAACAAAAAAATTCAGTCACTGGGACTTTTTTTTTTTTTTTTTTTTTCAGAATTAGGATTACCATACCACCTGTGATGAAAGACTGTGGTTTTGTGTCAGTATCTAAGATTTCTGTCTAAAATTGGTACATGTAAGAATTGAATAAAATGGTTATATAATTCAGCTGAAATTCTTGGTCATGAGATGTTTAAGAGGTATTGACCATGTGTAAGACATAAGGCCAACAAAAGAATGATGTTGACTTATTACATATTCTTTAAAACATGGCCAAAAAGCATTTTGTGAATTGATTGCTATTTTTGCTATTGTGATTATTAGTGGTTTACAATGCATATTTGTGCATATTACTTAAAAGTTCAGGCAGTGAGAAATAAGATTCCTCTGAATTTGGGAGCTCTGACTGTTTCTAAACTGATACCATAGAATGTTACTTGGAAAAAGTCTGGAATGTGTGGTGCACACAGGCAGTGCTTCATGAATAGATTTCCGACTTTTTATAATGCACCACATTCCTCAAAGTTTATATTTTCATTAGTAAAATATTTTATAATGTGTACCCTATGTTTATTTTTCTTCCTCAGCTAATCAAATTATTGTCTGCACTATAAGTTGAAGATTAGCTATCTGTTATTTATCTTCTGTAGCAATGCATTTATATGGCTGGGTGGGTGGGAAGTTTTTTGCAGAAAATGCAAAATGATTTAGACTTCCTGTTACAGGGAGATATCTCTCTCTCTCTCTCTCTCTCTCTCTCTCTCTCTCTGTCTCTCTCTCTCTCTCTCTCTCTCTCTCTCTCTCACACACACACACACACACACACACACACACACGCACAAACACATTAATTTCCTGTATATTTTTCCAATTCCCATACAGACTGTTCCTGTTTACATACCTTCTCTGTTCTATCAGTTCTTTGATTCTAGCAAGAAGATAGTTTACTTAAAACTTGAGAGGGCCATTCAGCATTACCTGTTGTTTTTGCTTCTCAGATCTGTATAGTAGACTGGTTTTGTAATGCTAGTTTGTTGAAATTTGAATTACCTTGCTCTCTCTTCCTCCTTAAGGAAATATATTATCTTTTTTATATTCTTAAGAAAAAAGAGCAAGGAAGGACATCTTCATTATTCTTATTTTCTTTGAGTTGGAAGCAAAAAATGAAGGAACCCAACTAGAAGACAGATATCTGCATTTAAATAGATTAGTGAGAAAAGTTTCCAAGTATTTGTTTCTGTTTTCAAATCAGTTAAGAGACTGCTCCTTGTACTAGGAGATACTAGTATGTTTGTTATGTTACCTTGAAATTATCTTTTATTTTATAAGGCCCATAAATACTAGTTAGACTCTTTTAAAGATGGGTTCCTATCATGGATAGTTTCACAGCTATCAGCCATGCTGATGTATTATTAATGACATCCCTATGTACTTATTTTAAAGCTTAAAATTTTATATAAAATGCTTTATTTAGAAAACTTACATAATAAAATGGTGTCAGTCTTGCCATGTAGCAATTTCACTTGAAATATGACACCAATTAAAGAGGTTTAAGTGGAGGAAAGGGGTACCTACAAGGTACAGATCAGGAGAACTTTTCTTTGCAACAGTATCCTTTATGTGGAAAGAGAAGTTCCTGTTCAGAGGAAGGCAGCTTATGTGGATAATGTTTGTATATTGTTGAAAAATTTCCTTATGACATTTTTTAAAATGTATAATTGTTAAATGTCCAATTTTGCTCTGTATTTACCTGAAGTTTTAGTTTTCTAGGTGGACTTGTGTAAAAAAACCAAACCAGTACTTAGAGTACTTGGGGAGGTTGGTGTGTGTTCAGGCTTGGAGTGTGTGAGTGGTTTTGTTTGCCTTTTGGTTGTTTCCTCCAGAGGTTTTGAACTTTAATTAATAATTGTGTGTGTTATTTTTTAAAAAGTGGATTTATGTTTTCCTCAAATAAAATGGTGAACACATTTGCTTTTCAAGGGCAGGGCATAAGTTATGAAGACTGAAGAGTGTTGTAGATTGTACTATGTGCCTTCTTAATGTATTCCTGGACACCTTTTTTTTCATCAACTTGAAAACTCAAAAGGGACATTTGGTTAGGTTATATACTGTACATCAATCTATGCATAAATGGCAGCTTGTTTTCTTGAGCCACTGTCTAAATTTTTTTGTTTTTATGGAAATTTTTTATACGGATTGGTTCATAGAAGGTCAGTTTTATACAGAGTGAACAATACAGCACTTTGCCAAAAATAAGTGTAGCATTGCTTAAACATTGTGTATTAATACCAGTTCTTTGTAATTGGGTTCAATAGTGCATTTTGCACTGTCTGGAGTTATAGTTTTTATTCTGTCAGTAAATAAAATGTCCTTTAACGTCACACTTGTCAGATTGTTTTATTTAATCTTTATGATCATTAGTCTTGAAAGTAGGTATAACTAATTTAAAATACTTGCTGTTTAGTTTTACTTGTACAAAAGATCTGTTTAACATGCACTTTAAATACTTCTTAAAAAGCTTGTGTAAAATTAGTATATGAATGAGTAATCATTTAAGTGAACAGGAATTTGAGTGTGACTCCCCCAACCTCTATATTTCCATCCACCAACCTATATTTAAAAATAAAAATATATGAGGTTGAAGCTGTAATAAAAGCCTTCCAATAAAGGAAAGCCCAGGGCCAAACAGATTCTCAGACATTTAAAGAAGAACTAAGGTCATTCCTTCTCAAATTATTTTATAAAATAGAAAGGAAGGGAATACTCCCAAATTCATTCTATGAAGCAAATACCACCCGATACCAAAACCAGATAAAGACACATCAAGTGAAATAAAACTACAGACCAATATCTCTGATGAACATAGGTGCAAAAATCCTTCATAAAACATTAGCAAACCACATTCAGAAACACAATGAAGAAGATTGTACACCATGATCAAGTTGGATTTATCCTGGGAGTTCAAGGTTGGTTCAGCATACACAAATCAATAAATGTAATTTGTCACATAAATAGACTTAAGGGGAGAAATCACATAATCGTCTCAATAGATGCAAAAAAAAAAGCCTTCATCAAAATCTAGCACCCATTCATGTTAAAAACACTGAAAGAACTAGGGATAGAAGGAGCTTACCTCAATATTTTAATAGCTATAGACAACAAACCCAAAGCCAACATCATACTGAATGGGGAAAAGGTATTTCCTCTAAAATCAGGAGCAAGGCAAGGATGTCCACTCTCACCACTTCTATTCAGTGTAGTACTTGAAACTAGCAGAGCAAGTGGGCAAGAGAAGGAAATTAAAAAGATACAAATAGGAAAGGGGTAAGTCAACCTATCTGTTTGCTGATGACACGATTCTGTACTTAGAGGATCCCAAAACAACAGAAGACTTCTAGAGCTAACAGATTCAGCAAAGTAGCAGGATACAAGATAAACACAAAAATCAATACCTTTCTTATACTCCAATAATACTGTTGAGAAAGAAATCAAGAAAACAATTCCATTCCCAAACGAATAAAAAATAATAATAAACCTGAAAATAAATTTAAGGAGGTGAAAGATCTCCAAATCACTGAGCACCAAAGAAAGCAACTGAATACTTCAAAAAATGGAAAGGGCTTTCCATGTTCTTGGATAGGCAGAATTAGTATTGTTAAAATGGCCACATTACCAAAAGCAATGCACAGATTCAGTGCACTTTTCATCACAATACTGATGACATTCTTCACAGAACTAGAAAAAAAAGTCCTAAAATTTATGTAAAAGAATAGAAGACCCAGGATAGCCAAAGCAATACTGAGCAATAAGAGTAATGCTGTAGGCATCACAATACCTGACCTTAATCTATACTACAGAGCTTTAATAACAAAAGTGATATGGTACTGGCATAAAACCAGACAAATCCAGATAGACACAGGTGTAAATCCTTTACAAAGATGCCTGTTTTAGTCAGCTTTTTTCACCACTGTGATCTAAAGACCTGACAAGAACAATTTTAGAGGAGAAAAAGTTGATTTGGGTCTCAGTTTCAGAGGTCTCTCCACTGTCAGCTAGTTCTATTGCTCTGGGATGGAGGTGAGGCAGCATATCACGGTAGAAGACTCCAGTGGAGGAAAGCAGCTCAGGACAGGACAACCAGAAAGCAAAGAGACTTCTCCTCTCAGCAAGGACAAAATATATACCCCAAGGAATGCCCCCAATGATGCACCTCCTCCAGCTGCATCCTACCTGTCTACAGTTACCACCAAGGTAATCCCCATCAGGGGATTAATGCGCTGATTAAGTTAAGACTGTCATAACCCAGTCATTTTACCTCTAACCTTCTTGCATCGTCTCACACGTGAGCTTTTGGGGGACACTTCATATCTAAACCGTAATAGTGCAACAAACATACATTGTAGAAAAGTTAACCTTTTTAACAAATGGTGCTGGGAAAACAACATCCATATGTAGAAGAATGAAATTAAGTCCCTATCTCCCACCCTGCACAAAAAAATCAACTCAAAGTGGATCAAAGACACAGGAATTAGACCAGAAACACTGCAACTTCTAGCAGAAAACACACAGACAACATTCCAACATACTGGTGCAGGCACCAAGTTCCTTAACAAGATTAATCCTTAAAGTTCAAGAAATAAAACCAAGAATCAACAAATGGGATGGCTTCAAATTAGCAAGCTTCTTCACAGCAAAGGAAACAAGTGTGAAGACAGCCTTTGTAATGGGAGAAAATCTTTGCCAGCTCCTCTTCAAATATAGGATTAATATAGTTTCTCAAAAAGATTAATTTCTCAAAAGAAGAAATATAAATGGTCAACAAATACATGAAAATATGTTCAACATCCTTAGCCATCAGAGAAATGCAAATCAAAAGAAAACTGAGCTGGAGACAGTGGTGTGCACCTGTAATCCCAGTGTCTTTGGAGGCGGAGGCAGGAGGTTCACAAGTTCAAGGCCAGCCTCAGCAGCTCAGTGAGGCCCTAAACAGCTTAGCAAAACCCTGTGTCAAAAATAAAAAGGGCTGGGGATATAGCCCGATGGTGCAGCAGCCTGGGTTCAATCCTCAGTGTCAAAACAAATTGCACTGAGATTTTACCTTACTGCAAGTTAAAATGGCAATCATAAAAAATACAAATAACAATGTTGTCAAGGATGTGGAGGAAAAGGTACAGTTATACATTGTTGGTGCACTGCAAATTAGTACAATCACTTTGGAAAGAAGTATGGAGAGTTCTTAGGAATGGAACCACCATGTGACCCAGCTACCCAACAACTTGGTATTTATCCAAAAGAACTAAAATCAGGGCTGGGGTTGTGGCTTAGAGGTAGAGCACTTGCCTAGCACGTGTGAGGCACTGGGTTTGATTCCCAGCATGATGTATCAATAAATGAATAAAATAAAGGTCCATTTTAAAAGAATGAAAAAAAAGAACTTAAATCAGCATACTACAATGATACAGGCACGTGCCTATTTATAGCAGTGCAGTTCATAATAGTTGTGGAACTAGTCTAGGTGCCTGTCAACAGAGGAATAGATAAAGAAAATGTGGTCTATATATACAAATATAGAGTTTTACTCTCAACTATACAGAAGAATGAAATTTGTAATTGGCTGGTAAATGGATAGAACTGAAGAACATCACGCTAGATGAATGAAGCTAGACTCAGAAAGTCAAGGGTAGTATGCTTTCACTCATATGCAGGTGTGTGTGTGTGTGTGTGTGTGTGTGTGTGTGTGTGTGTGTGTGTGTGAAGAGAGAGAGAGAGAGAGAGAGAGAGAGAGAAAGTAAAAAGGGAGAAGGTGAAGGGAGGCACAGAATTTCATGAAAATAGAAGGGAGACCAATGAAGTAAGGAAGGGGATCAGAAAGGAGGAGGAGAAGGTATAGGGAAGTACTGGGGAATAAAATCTACCAAATTACATCCATGTATGAATACCACAATGGATCCTACACACACACACACACACACACACACACACACACACACACACACTGTAATGCACCAATTAAAATAATGATAACAACAGGGGATCAGTAGAGTAGAACATGCAGATCAGGGAGAGGGAAAGGAAGATACTGGGGAATGAGACTGAGCAAATTATGTGCATGTACAAATATGGCACAATGAATCCCACCGTTAGGTACAATTATAATTCATCAATAAAAATAAATGATAAATATACAATCAAATAAAAATATAGAGGGGCTGGGGATGTGGCTCAACTGGTAGCGCCACTCGCCTGGAGTGCATGCGGCCCGGGTTCCATCCTCAGCACCACATACAAACAAAGATGTTGTGTCCGCCGAAAACTAAAAAATAAATATTAAAATTCTCTCTCTCTCTCAAAAAAGTTTTAAAAAATATATATAGAATTCAAAACTATTTCTTAGCCTTGTTAAAATTAGCTTGGTGAATTCTTCATGTATTTTCTCCCAGATAAACAGAGACATAATCTTGCAGAAACATTTAGGACAGTATGGGCCTTCCCTATGCAATTAAAGCAGCCCATTTGAATTGTCCAGTAAAATTCAGAATACTTGAACAGGAAGCCTAAAAAGAAAAACTCCATGTGACTGAATCCATAGGGAAGACCCATACTCCATAGCTGCAGCCTATCACAAAACATATCATTATCTCTGAAGCCCTCAGCTGAGCTGAAAAGATTGTGGGGAAAGGTAAGGAGGAGTCTTTCTGACCTGCCTGCTCTACAAACTTCCAACTTCCAGGCAATCTGAAGGCAGGATGCATTTCTCCTCTTGAACTGCTTCAGGGTCTGCAAGATCAGACCTTTGTGGGAATGGGGGCCATGACATACTGAGGGTGTGCATGCCCAGGAGGACACTGTTTGGCAGATCATTTGTGTGCAACTAGACAACTGTATCTTAGTCCCCTTTTCTGCTCTCTTCAACACTCCTAAATCCAGTATTTGGGGCTGGGGATGTGGCTCATGGGGCTGGGGATGTGGCTCAACTGGTAGCACCACTCGCCTGGAGTGCGTGGGGCCCGGGTTCGATCCTCAGCACCACATACCAACAAAGATGTTGTGTCCGCCGAGAAATAAAAAATAAATATTAAAAAAATAAAATTCTCTATCTTTAAAAAAAATCCAGTATTTATCAAACTTTAATATGCATACAGTCCATCTGAGGGATCTTATAAAAAATGCAGATTCATATCGAGCAGACCTGGTGTAGGGCCAGAGAGACTCTGCAATCCTAACAAGTTAGCTCCCAGGTGATGCTCATGCTGCTAGCTCACGGGCCACCCTTTGAACAGCAAAGCCCTCACCAATGGTTCTCAGACAGTGGGCATCACAGTAACCCAGAGGGCTTGGTCCACCTTAGAAGATTTTAGTTCAGTAAGTCTAGGACGGGGCC